TCACAAGAGGACTTTTGTCCTTTCTTATAGACTGGCACAATCAGTGATTGAGACCAGTCAGATGGGATTACGTCCAGTTCCCAAATTCTACCTAAGACCTCGGTTAATCTCATTGCTAATACTGGACCACCATCCTTAAAAATCTCAGGGGTAAACCTGTCAATGCCTGCTGCTCTCCCTCTCTTCAGATTTTCTATGGCTTTTTCAACTTCGTAAAGAGACGGAGAACTTACATTAACTTGCCATTCAGGTTGACTGGAGATCGTGCGAAACTGAAGTGTGGCTGAAGGCCAGTTGAACTGATCCCTGAAGTGTTCTGCCCATCGATCCAATCTCCTGGATTGAGGATGTATAATATTCCCATCTTCCTCTGAGAGTGTTTCGCTAACAGTCGGTCTCCTAATGCTACTTTCCTTAACAAGTCTGAAAAATTGTCTGCTATTACCTATTGCTGCTGTCTTCCCCATCTCTCTTGCTTTCGCTACCCACCACTGTTCGCGATCATTGCGTAGACTTCTTGTCAGCTTGCGCTTAAGCTGACTCCGCTCTTCATTATGTTCAGAGCCAGGTGGAATGAGTTTCCGAGCATCTATCAGTGCGATAGATGCTGCTGAGATCCAGTGTTGCTACCTAACCTTCTGGTTTACCTTACTAGCAGATATCACTGCTGTTTCCACAGCTTTTCGGATATTATTCCATGCTGCATCGGGGTGGGCATCACATACATGGCTGCCTAACTGTTTTCCTAGTTGTTCCTGAAATATACTCTTAGCTTGACTATCATTAAGTAGGCCCCTAAGAGGTTTCCTTGCAGCGTCTTTCCTACGTCCAGTAAGACGCAAGCAAATACGCGCTCGTATTAGAGCATGATCTGAATTTAAGCATGTGCTCCAGAATGAGCGACAGTCTTCTATCGAGTCCCTCCATCGGTCTCCATGTTAAAAGATGTTTTTCCTTATGCTTAAAGTTAGTATTTGCAAGGAGCAGGCGATTATCTGAGCATAGCTGCAACAGACGGTCGCCATTATCTGTTCTTTGAGCCACGACACCATAAGATCCACGTAGGTGTCTTTCCCTATCGCTTAGTTTACCTACTTGAGCATTAAAGTCACCGGCCACTATTACTACATCAGAGCGCCTAGCTTTTCGGAGAAGGTCGGAAAGCTTTCTGTAAAACTCATCTTTTACATCATCTGAGCTGCAGTCAGTGGGAGAATAGGCAGGGACGACAAAGAGGCAACGACGAGTGTCCCTATATTTCCGAGTCCTTATTGTTCCGTTCAGTCGGACAGCGCACAAACGGCTGTCTACTGGGATCCACTCTAAGAGAGCTAATTCTGCCCTAGGGCTCAATGCTATACCTACGCCGGCGAGTCCACGGGAAGCAGAATCAGGGCTTCCAGATAGACGAAGCGTAAATCGAGTCGGTTCTTTATTTTGGCATGGTGAGGTCAAATGAATGACGCTACTCGGATCCTGTATGCGCGTTTCGGAGACGCAGCACACATCGATGGCGTGTGATTCTGAAGTCCTAGTTAAGGAAGCCTGTTGTCCTATTTGGCACAGTGTTCGGACGTTAAAAGCTCGTACGTGTAGTTTAGAGCGTGGTTTCAGGAGACCAGGAATAGAGTTCCACGTACTAGAATCGTTTGCCCTAGCGGTGCGAGGTGATAAAGAGACGTGAGGACGGTTAATCATGGAGATAAGAGAGGTATTAGGTGTAGGAAGGATTTGAATGTGACCAACTTGCTTACGTGCGCTGTTACGGGTATGAGGGCTGATATCACTTCCCGGCTGCCCACACCGTGGAAGAATGGACAACTCAGAACCAATTAGACGATTTGGACTTCGGAGATGAATTAGCCCTCCTATCCCATGCACACGAACAAATGCAGATAAAGACAGCCAGTGTAGCAGCAGTCTCTGCATCAGTAAGCCTCAACATACACAAGGGGAAAACCAAGGTCCTCGAATTCAAAGCAGGGAACAGGAATTCAATCACTCTTGATGGCGACACTCTGGAAGGTGTAGAGTCCTTCACATACCTGGGAAGCATCATCGATGAGCAAGGAGGATCAGATGCAGATGTAAAGGCAAGGATTGGCAAAGAAAGGACAACATTCCTACAATTGAAGAACATATGGAACTCAAAACAACTTTCAACCAATATCAAAGTGAGAATCTTCAATACCAACGTCAAGGCAGTTCTACTGTATGGAGCTGAAACTTGGAGAACTACAACAACCACAATCAAGAAAGTACAAGTATTTATAAATAGCTGTCTACGCAAGATACTCAACATCCATTGGCCGGATACCATCAGCAATAGCCTTCTGTGGGAGAAAACAAACCAACTTCCAGCTGAAGAAGAAATTAGGAAAAGATGATGGAAATGGATAGGACATACATTACGCAAATCGTCAAACTGCATCACGAGGCAAGCACTAACTTGGAATCCTGAAGGGAAGCAGAGGAAAAAAGAAGACCAAAGAACAGATTACGTTGGGAAATGGTCAGTCAGTCAGTCAGTAACAACGTAGAATTGGGAAATGGAATCTGATATGAAAAGAATTGCTAAGGACAAGGTTGGAAGGAGAATGCTGGTGAGCGGCCTATGCTACTTCACGAGAAGTAACTGACGTAAGTAAGCAAGTAAACTAGTAGGGACGGCATTTTAGATGTTATTATGTAGAAAAAAACATATTTACGACAGTTTAACAGCAACAAACTAATTATTATTAGTATGGGGATTTGGAGACATTAATAATAATAGTAATAATAATGATGATAGTAGTAGCACTAATGACAACAATAATAAAAATAGTGGTAATAATAGCAATAACAATGACAATAATAATAATAATAATAATAATAATAATAATAGCAGTAATAATGATGGTAATAATAATTATGATAATAATAACAATAATAGTAATAATGACCATAATAATATTAATAATGATAATAGTAATAATAATAGTGGTATTAATAGCCGTAATGATGATAATAATAATAATAATAACGGTGAGAGCTTTAAATAAAACTTTACAGACTAAAAATAAGTCAAATATTAAACCACTTTACTTAATAGTCACTGTTAAGTCGACCGAACGATATATTATTCATGAAAATACCACTAAATTATCATCCTCCAATGGGACAAACACTGATTATATGAATAATGAATAAGCGATAATGGGTATCATAACTTAAACTAGTAGTCCCTGTATTGATTATTGCAGACTCACGTAAAGAAATCAAATGAATTTTGAGTTGAGAAGAAATGACAGGAAATATCTTGTAGTCAACATTTCTCAGAAAAACACGAGTTATTAGGATGAAATCTCCCCCAAGATTATTGATTTTTAGATCGAGAAAAACGAGTCATAAGAAATAAATTGTATCGTAAATACTATGATTGAAAAAGTTGTTTTAAGTACACAATTCGGCCTACAATTCTACCTGATAACAAGAGCCTTAAAATCAATTGCCTATAGTAATATTGGTCAAAATTAACACGCTATAGACAGGAAAGTTTGACTGAGTTACTAAGTATAAATATACTGAATTACTTTTGAGCTATACCTTATTTGTATGACGGCTCGCCATACAACCTAATTGAAACCAGAGACCATACTGATTTGAAAACATCTGTGATTAATTAGATCGAACCTATGTTCATGTTTTCTACCTAGAGTAGACATATTTCAAAATAAAGAACTAATGCGAGGAGTTACTGTGCAATATCCTCGTCCTCTGATAGATAGATAACCCGTCTTGTATGTAGCACAGGTAGTACAAGTCGAGCGACCTCTTTTATATTCATAAAGAGATTTCATTGACCCAACACAAAAATACGTCTTCAAGATAACTAAAAAGGTAATATAGATTATATATGTAAAAAAAATACTCAATTGAATTTCATGCGATAGATTTTGCTACGGCTTTGGATTTCATTTAGGCAAAACTGCTTGCTTATTAAAAAGCAAAGGAGATAGAACTAAGTCAGTCAAAAAACTAGATTTTTGTGGTGAATAATTCAATTCAACAACCAAATCTAGATGGTATGCACTGTAAAACCACAAAACGATATTGAACACAGACAATATTTACTTAAGAAAACATCCATGCTGAAAACCCAGCAGTTTTGGAATGATATTTTCAGTTCAAGTGAATACTTTTATCGTTTTTGAGCTTTATGAGCTAGACAGTATAATTGCAATGACTTTTTAGACATTCTGGGCAACATTATCACGACTTACTTCATGTAGAAGTGTTTTCCAGAACAAAAACAACATATGTACACATATATGTGAACCTCAACAGCCAGAACTGGCTCCTTCAATCGAAAAATTATTTCGATTGAAAAGCTTCAGTGCGTTCTGTTATTTTTGAAAAAAGGTAAGTGGAGAAAAGGCTGGAGCTTGAAATGAAACCCACAGTGAAAATTAGGAATCTGAACCATTGATTCAGGTTCAGTTTTGAATACTCTATGAGAATCATTAAATTGGGAATAGAATAATCGATATGTGTGCAACAGTCAATAGGTTAATCAGTTTTAATCAACGTAAAAACCTGATGAATATTGTGCATCGATTCATATTTCCACAGGAAATTAGCAAACCAAAGTGAAATTCTCAATGTGAATACTAAAGTAGCAGTATCAATGTGATTATAATAAATGAGACAGGAAATGAGATTCGAGAAGGAAGAATGAGTAGATAATGATAAACAAAACTCCAAAGTATGAGCTAATTAAATGTAAAGTTGGAACTAGAGTACGGATAGACAGCTTAACGTTATATATATATATATATATATATATATATATATATATATATATATATATATATATATCCGCCCGCTATACACAACAATCCACTGTTTAAAAAAATATCGTACTGTTTGACATTTATTCACAAAAAAATCTTAATAATAAGCATATATATATATATAATTGTAACAATAAATACAAGAAATAACTATAAATTGGTACTTACACGTCTAAATTCATCTCGAATTCTTTCCTCCAAATTGTCTAATTTATTCCTTATTTCTAATTACGTATGTGAAATAATAATAATAATATTAATAATTATTATTATTATCATAATTATAACTATAATAATATGGTAAAAAAAAACAATGATCTACGCATAGTAAATTTGCAATGCCAAAACAAGTCATGCTGGATGTAAGCTAGAATAGTTAGTAAGCACAAAAAAAGCAAGCAACTTTTTTATGATTAAGAGCTTTTGAAACGAAAGAGAATAATTTTTAATTTATTACCTTTAAAAAAAGAAATGGTAATATCTACAAGGCGGATCGAACTATTAAAAATTTTGGAAGAAAATTAATACGCAAGATAGTTTGTCCAACGTTGAGATATGCTATATTTTGAGTATAACAGCTAAAGATATTGAGCTGTAAATATAAGCGAAGGATAGGAAAATGAATTTTCAATAGATGGTCTATTTTTTGATCAAGGAAATCAGTCTTTACAATAGTCATAAAGAACAATCAAAAACAGTGATCCACGTGACACTAACCTTGTAGCGACGGATCTTTATCAGCAAGAATAATGAACTCATTTCGTTGGTTAACATAGTCCAAATCTATGTTGGATTCTACTAGATCTTTAAACAGAATGAAGTCATCCATGGCTTTCTTAGGAGAGCAGAGAAAAAGATATATAAAAAGCAGTGCATTTATCAAGTTTATTGATATGTAAATTCATAATAGATATAACTTTTAAACAGTTCACCGATGACTAAAGTTTAAACCATTAAACAGAAATCTCCAACCTACAGTACGAAATCTTTTTTTGTGAATATAGCTCATCAAATGTTGAGGGATTTTTGATTAATGACAGCAGCTATGATTTTAGTTCCCATTTCTGGTACTTGTATCTGAAGAGATAAAAACACTGGAATTTTACTCTTAGTTTTGATCCACATTTATATAAATGTTGTTTGGTTCCAGTTATGATCTCATAAAGCTCTTTGTTTTTGCTTATTTAAGCTGAATTCTCGCACACAATTAAACCACAAGACTTGATCTATTTCCTGCGATCTGAAAAAGAAAACTCAAATGGCTCTTTGCTCTACGAGAAAGGTAATCTGTTTTTGAATGCTATTCAGTCAGATGCTACTATTATACCCACCGAAAAGCAAAGATAATTAGATTATTGTGGATTTTAATCACAATCTGTACATGAAATTCATCTGTTTTACTGGTGTACCTACTTTAAAAAATTTTCTATGCAAAGCAGTTGGCTTTGTTTGGCATTTCATGCTATCGAATCAATATTATAATAAGGCTACAACTTTTCCGTTTGCTGTTTACCTAATCCTTTCTATTATTACTGGTATTGTTAAACTTTCTAACAATCTGGGATTTGTCTTGATAATTTCATTTCGCTATGCTAGTGCAGTGTGACAACTTACACCGATTCACATATGTGACAGGTCCTACATTGAGTATGACTGACTGACTGTAAACAAACCTAAAATCATCGCTTCTCGTATGCTTATGTGGATGTATTTTGTACTAATCTCTCGTAACAAGTTTTCAGTTGAGTTTTGGTTTTTGCATTATTATTGAAACTCATGTTAATTATTTTCTGTTCATGAAGTGGTGTCATAGAATGATCATGTAATCAGTAAAATACCCTGAGGCCTGCAATATATATGGTATAGTTTCAAGGGTTTCTAACAGAAATATATACAACTTGTAGAAACTTTCGAATCTTACCAGTAGCCGGAAATTCGACGTCGTTAATACGTGTCAGTCATAGTGAACAAAGAGCTTGGCACATATGATGCTTGAACAACCAGTTAGAAATAATCAACAAAGAGACAGACAAAAATGTGTGTCAACGAAAGCTGCTTGATAAGGGTGAACTCAGAAAGATAGATATAAACATAGAGCTCGGTTCAAACAGGCGTTGGTCTAAGTTGTCATATCACATTAGGTCGACGAAATGAAATTAACAAGATGTACGTCAGAGAAACCGAAATAATGTAACAGCAACCATAATAAGGAAGAATAAACATTAATAATGTGGTTCGCAAAGTTGATGGGAAGGTGTGTATGGAGGAATATTGGAAACACTGATCTATAGAGGTAGCATGTGAATGCATGCGCGCCACTGAGGTCGACTGTGAGCGTCGTGGTAATCGGTGTTCATACATAAATGACATACCATAAGCTCTGACTAGACTGTTAGTGATCGAGTAAAGAGCCCACACAGATTTTATGCAATTCTGAGGTACTTCTTTCAATGACAGACAGTGCCACAGAAATTTTTAGTCTACACAGTCACCTGCTACGGTTACTGTATCAGTCTTCAGCTTTTTGAAGAATTAACATATTGGAGCAAATACAGAGACGATGAAAAGCTAACAATCTGTGTTCCAATTTTTTCGAGTTCTTTCGGAGCCATTTAACCGAACTGCGCATAGACGACTGTTAACGGGGATCCATCCTAATAGTGCTTGTTCTGCCCTTGTACAGAGTGCTATGCCTCCACCCACCAGTCTACGAAAAAGAGCCATCAAGTCGCTAGATAAACGAGTGTATCATGTCAGCTCTCCGATTCGTCGAGGTTAAATTAATTGAATGACCACGCTAGAATCCGGAGACGGATATTCGTGGGATAAGGTGAGGTGTGCATTTTTAGGGTCGAACCTTTCTAAATCCACCCCTGCTTATGGGAAGGCAGTATCCCTATTATTCTAATTGTCTGAAGAAAACGCCCAACTGTTGTCACACCTCTATACAGTTAGCAGTACGACTTCGCCCTCGAACCTTTGGTTTGTTGCTTTTAGTCCTACCGCTCTTTAACCGACCTGTCTGGTATAGTAGGACCTTGAAGAACGAATGTTCCAGCCAGTATAGCTCAATTGCTTTATTACGAATGGCAAACCCGACCACCATGTAAAGATAGAAGCAACGGTCGGGAGATTTCAATATAGTGATAGTAATAATTAAACTGGATAAATTTCAGATCTAGTATCAAAGACGAATCGGAGATCTTAATAAAGTGATAAGTTTATTTTCATGTTTATTAATCAACGTTCGATATGATAGTCTAAGTTTAAAGTATATGGCACAGTATTTTTGATTGTCTAGGTGATATACAAATCACATAGGCTATAAATAAACTATGTAAAACTAGGAACAAGTGAATGACTACATAAAAAGAATGATAATTCCTATAGTTATTGTTAGTTATTAAACAATGTGATTACAATCTAGTGTTTTTAGACTCCATTTAAGTAGAAACAGAGAGTAGAAATTTTCTGTGTTCAAAGTTTTTCTTTTCAATTGCATACCACATTTTAATGCAATTCGAAACATATATTTATATACAACTAGCAGAATTATTTGTTCATTAAGAGTTTGTTCAGATTCGGTCATACGCCAATTTCAGATTTATACATAGATAAATTGTAACAAATTTATTTTTATTCTCCATATTAGAAAAATCCAGATAATAGATTATAAAAGTTTATGTTCTCGACCACTCAATGTTGTGAAATTCAATAAAGTATAAATATTGGAAACATTGATTATGATTCGTAGTGCGACCGAATGAGCGATGTTGAGGCTAGATACAAACTATTAGGTAGAGAAAGTAGTGTTGAGGATGCTAGATCCTCAGAACTCGCTTAATAAATGTCTTGTTTTTGTAATTTTATTTTGGATATTTGAATTTCTTATTTTCACGCCAATAGCGCCCATTTTCACCTTCATATCCTACTTCCTATTCGGTTCGTAGTCTCTTTTAATATGATATTTCATGTTTTCCATGGACATTTCTATGCTGTATATATACGTTTAAGTTGTGCTTGTTGATGTTGCTGATGCTTTTAGCTGCTTGTGGAATATATTTCCCCTCTTCTGAATCTGGATCTCACTCTCTAGTTAGCGGAACTGGGACGCATCAGAATAGCTAGCTTCTCTGATCATTGTGTCGCTGAATCTCCGTTTCTTTTGCAGATTTAGGTGAGCTCGTAAACCCTTCAAACATAGCAGGCAGATTAATTGATTAGTTAGTAGATCTTCATCTACTGAGATGATGAATGTATTACTTATGTCGAACAACAGCCTACTTCGATATTTGGTGGTATAAGAACTAGTTGAAAAAAAATATGGAGAGCAAAATCATATAACTGGAACTAGTCACTGACTGTTGGTCTGAGCCACGTTGGCAAGGGTAGACTACTTGATAGCGATCAGATTGATAATCACGATAGCTTATTGGAGATATTGTGTGCTGTGGAAGATACGTTTACTCTTTTTTTGTAAATCTTGATTTGCAGTATTTCTTCAAAAATAGCTTTTCATTTTGTCTTTTCGAACAGTACTCTCAATGTTCAATATTTTGCATTACCATTGAAACTAACATTAATTCGATTTAATTTGCTATTCTTTTTAATTTCATCACGTCGTGCTGATGCGATAAGATCGCTTAAAATAATTTTAACATTATTTTAAAAACGTTTCACGGTGCATTTTTCAGTATGCCTGGATGTTAATCATGTATGAATGGAAACTGTGATGTAATAGTAACACATCATCGATATAATAAATTTGAAAAAAAAATTCATAAACAGATATAAATACTTAAAACATTTTTATCCAATCTATGTGAAATAAACAACAGGTTGTAAACATAAATATTAATTCACATGAATATAAAGATGTTATTTTTGTGCATATTTTCACAAAAAAACCTTTCTGTTCAACGGACAATAGTAAACATTTTGAAATATTGTTGTTAGTAATAATAACGATAATAAAGTAACAATGAAAAATGAAAACTATTCTGTGGAAAGAAAAAGGTCATATATTGTTTTTTTGTTTACACAATGCAGGTTAAGGGAATTAAGAAATAATCTACTTACAAAAACAGTAAAGCTAAATTTGTTGTGTAACTGATAAACACATCTGTTAATGCGCAATAAAGGAAAAATGTAAGCGTAGTGTACAACTTTCCACATTCATATTTATGATACATATAAAAATCACACTGATTACAAATGAAGCTAGGGAAAGAAGTTTCGTCAGATTTATAACTCAATAGCTGGAAATTGAGAATAGATAAATCAATGTTGTTATAACCGGAAAAGACTAAATTACGGGAAACACTTGGAGACTATTTATAGACTGTTAAATAACTAGATTATGTTTATATTCTTTTTATCATAAGCTTTATTTAACCTATTAACTACTATTATACGATTTAATATTCCTAAGTTATGCTCAATATGTTAGTTACAGTCTCTCACAATCACAGCCACTTTTTGGCTTGTTCTCGTATAATTGTTATTTCTTATTTTATGGTGTGGTCTGGTTTACTTGTGTATAAACCAAGTATGTCCGAACCATATGATTGATACAGTGGAAGCTGAGATTTGTGTTTCGGAACCTAACAAAAGGACTAGGTGTGAAGATTCGAAATTGGCACTAGGCTGCTCAAACTGGTTAACACGTCATTGGTTTGACACAGTCGGTGTTATGATTGGGGATCTTAACATTTGATAATGAACAATGGACAAAAATCACTGCCCGAATCTCGACACCACAGTGATCTTGAGTGCTGTTAGAGGTATGAGGGCAGTCATCACTTCACAGTTGCCCACATTGCAGAAGGGTTCTTCTAGAGGCACCTGAAAAAGAACTTGGGCAAGTAGTGGATTTAGTAACCTGAGAGTGTGACCGCAGTGTCCAAAGGACAACTGCTTGAGCTCGGTTACAGATGATCTTTTTATGAATAATTTCCGTGTTAGCTCCGTAATTGCTGAGATGAGATGTGCATTTCTAGGGTCGAACCTTTCTAAATCCACCCCTGCTTATGGGAAGGCAGCATCCCTATTATTCTAATTGTCTGAAGAAAACGCCCAACTGTTGTCACACCTCTATACAGTTAGCAGTACGACTTCGCCCTCGAACCTTTGGTTTGTTGGTTTTAGTCCTACCGCTCTTTAACCGACCTGTTTGGAATAGTAGGACCTTGAGGAACGATTGTTCCAGCCAGTATAGCTCAATTGCTTTATTACGAATGGCAAACCCGACCACCATGTAAAGGTGGAAGCAACGGATCATGGTTGAACAATCAAATGAATAGAAGTCGTCACCGTACATCAACTTCCTTCATTATGAGCGTTTGACAGTGTGGATAAGTGAAATATATAGTATCGTCTCCTACACTGCGGCGTATCAAAAATATCAACAACATAATAAGGACTAATATGACGAACTGCACTACTCGAATATAACAGCATGGATATTACTATTTTTCGGGGTTTTTCATCTACTTCCTACCATTGCAGTGCCACGCTTTAAATTTAGCAAGCGTTGGCAATGCAGTGATCATTTGTAATACCATTTCATCATCAATATGGGATAATAATCGAGTTCGAACATCGGCATCTGTGGAAGACTATAATCCAGAAACAAACAATAAACATTTAAATTGGTCATTTGATAATGTACTTAATTTAAGCGTTCAACTTGTAGATTAATCCTGCTTGCGTACGTCAGATAATCTTCACCAGCGTCCTTTTTTAACTGGAGGCATCTATAACGAATATGAAATAACAAAGCTTGTTCACAAAATATCTTGTTCAAAATACCAACGGTTTCATCAAAATTCAACTCCCTTGGGTGTCTTGGCAGGATAACATTTCCATATTTAGTATCCTTGTGGGTCAAGTTTTTGTGATACCAATCTTACGTTCCTTTCATCTGAGAAAGATATTCGATGCTAGCGAACCATAATTCAAATATATGACCACTTTCCGAATCAAAAATAAGTAATGGTTCTATTTCCTCATCTTTTGCGGTGCATTTGGACTGGATTGAAGATTTTGATGCAAGTGATGTAAGCATCTGTTCTTGAGAAGCTAAAAATTGACTCTGCTGTTGCTGAAGAAATAATTGCATTTGCTCCATTAAAGTTGACATATTGATTTTCTTCTTCTGCATGAGTCAGGACAGTAATAAGAAAAAGACTGAATGACTAATTAATAACTAATGTCGTGCAAGGACACCGACGACAGCTCTGTACGTTGTGTTCAAATAATTACACTGACTCTCGTTCAATTACTGGATGGCCTCGATTCCTTTGTGAAAGTCGAGGTCGTAGACTTTCCATCCCGTAGCCAACTTGTTGTCCTATGGTCCATCAAATAACATATGATAAAATCGCCTTTTTGAATACCGATTTATATAACCTTGTCCCTTTGCTAAAGCAATGATGCGTTAACCAGCACGAACAGCCTTCAGTCAACTCTCAATTCTTATTGGTCCTCTGTATAGCAACTTCTCGCCTAGCCCAACCCGTTCAGTCTAGAACAAAAATATCACACTCCACTGTGTGAATCGTATATTTCAGACATACTCGGTCTACATACAAGCAGACCAGACCGCATCATAATACAGAATGAAAAAAGAAATGTCATACACGACCACGCCAAAAGTACCTGTGAACGTGGGATATTGTGGCCGATATGTTGGGAACAAGTTAAGAATGGCAAATCGTATTGCGGTAGCCAAATGAAAGCTTATGACGAAAGGAATGTAAACATATAATCTAGTTATTTAAGTTATATATATATATATATATATATATATATATATATAACAGTTTATAAATATTTTCCAAAAGTTACACATAATTTAATTATTTTCGGATATAAAAGAACTGATTTTATTTCATGTCACTTGAGATTTCCAATCACGACTAACTGGAAACTATCACTTGGGCACTTTACAAATGATACCGATTAATTGAAAAAAAATACAGATATGAAGTTTCACGATTTCTGAATCTTGAATATTATTTGGATGCTTACAGTCGAATATAGGCATGAAATAAATAAAAAATATAGACGTAGAATTAACAACTAATTTACTTGTAAAGGTGTTATAAGACATTCGTAAACTGTTGACCGTTTGGATCCAGTGTATTGATTCAATAATGAAACAGCATATGGTAAGCGTACAACAGCTTGATATATGCGATAGACATCCTAAAGTGTGTAGAAATATAAACGAAGAACATTTTTGATAATAAACATAATCTTGGTATTTACGAAATCAGATGTAACTGATGAGGTAGTAAATATTTTTCAACTAAGTTTAGTGAGACATATGCTACATACGCCCAACCACCACTAACCTCGAAGCAAATGATGGCAAATGTAATAGGTTGGAATAAAGCTAGTGTGGTCAAATCAAGACGTGACATCAATTCATGTAAACAATCCCTATTCGACTGGGCATTTAAGCACGTACACACTAACTAGTTGGAATCCACTAGATTATAGCAACCAATGTTCAGAGACTTCGAACGACAGCTCGAAATTATCTGCAACGGCGCGTTGCATTCACTCTTTGTATTCCTTACAATCTTAGATTCGTCAATTCCTCTTAAATTTATTTTTAAATATCTCAGTAGCTTATAATTTTTTCTCGAATTGTATCTTGGATACCTAAACTTTTATATTACCATTAATACTGTTATTACTTCAACTACTCTGAGATTCAATTTGACTATTTCTTCTGGCTATGCAGATGCTCTATGGTAAATTGGGTCTATGTACACGCATACCGCGTTCTATGTTGCGTTTAACTGACCGAATACACTTGGGAAAATAGATATATTATGCAAGGTTTCTTGAGGATAACTGACAGAGGAATCAAAAATTTTATAAGTGTGATTGATGGAGCTTTGATGAAGAGATGCATTAGATTCGAAGACTTAAATAATTAACAGACAGCCGATATCGCATTTATTTTGCTCTACACAGAGGCGACTATTGTCATTCGTCTTTGACCAGATATATGTGAAACAGAAAGAAAGCATAGTTGACTTCGCTATGCTCTCATAAGAACACATATCCTGAAAGAGAAGTATATAACATCCATTAAATGTTGTTCCAGCGACTCTTAATCATTTCGTTGATTTTATTCTATGTCTCGCTGTAATCAGGGATATTAAAAAATTAACGAATTCAATCCTAATCTTAATCAACTATATACAAGTGAATGTCATAACAAACAGTCATGCTAATAATGGTGTAAATATCATACCCGTTGTATGAATTAGTGGTTATCTGGACTCAGTAGCTCAGTAAATAGTGTGTTGACGTTCGAAACGAAAGGCATTAAGTTCACATCCTAATATGAACATCAACACTGGAATACGGAAGCACACCCAGATGATCAGTCGCAAATAGGAAGAAACGTGCATCTTGAATTTCCCTGCTAGCCACAATCCATCTACTCTAAAAAAACCCATAAAGTCTGGTTCATGTTATAGGCTAACTGACGGTTAGTAAACTCATCTTCTAAAAATGTGTGTGAGCATTCTAGTTTCCCATAAAACATGATAAACTCATCTTAAAAAGCCAAACATCTCAAACTTGATTGGTCTTTAGACAAAGAACCAATGAATCAAATTCTTCTAGCTACCAACCTACGATAGATGGAAATCTATATATACATATGTAGAGTGAGTATATTTTAATTAACCATTCTACAACTGATTTAATTAAAATAAACAAATCATCAGAAAAAAAACGGAAGGGAGAAAACAAACCAAAGGTTTTCTTCTTTGTTAAAAAATAAACACGCAAGAAAGTCGTAAATAAAAACTATGATCTATGTAAAATGCTTCACGCTTATTTCATTTACAATAATTATCTATGGAACATTTGGACAATATTATAAAATATGGAGCGAATATCCACAGTCAATTCTACAAAATGAAGAAAGTTAGTTTATTTTTAAAATGCAATCTGAACCATATATATGTTGTGTAATTTTTAGATTACTTGTTTGTTTACACATCCAAAATAAAAAGACAGTAATAGACAACAAGTTTATTAACAACATGGAGGGAATAAGAATGACATGTTGAACTACATCAATCAAAGAAAGACTAATGTTTCACTCAATAAGATTAAAGAGAGATAATTGAATGAACAGTATAAACTTTGATTTAATAGTCTAAACATTTAAGCGGTCAATTTTTCTGGGTTCTATGTGAAAGATATGAAAATATATTAGTGCGATCAACAGAAAATGATGGAAAAGCACGATTAAGATAGAATTCGACATAAAAAAAACTGATTACGATCGCTAAATTACCAATATAGAAACCGTTTAAAGAAGCTACTGAAGTCGAGAGAGAAAGAGAGTAGAATAGAGTAATAACAACCACGCAAAGATTTTTATTTAATCATTTTTTGTAGCCTAGACTCGTATACTCATCTGAGTATAAGTACTATATTTTTCACCATACTAAAGGAAAAAACGCATATAGCTTGGAACTAAAAATTGATGCATAGCATATCATGATCAACTCTATACATAGAAAACTGGTTTTGTTTGAGCACTAAAGTCACTCGTGATTCAATAACTATACGCAAGTTTAGATATAATTGAATACAGTAGGATTTCGAACATGTAACACAAGGGTATGAAAAATAATTGTATTACTGATTTAGATGTACGATTAAAGAAGTTATCTAACTATAAATCGGATGATTCGACGAATTAATTAAGGCAATATCCACTCGAACGTGAAAACTCGTTCAATTCTCACTAGAGTATAATTGAGTGATAATGAAACGGCATTTATTACTAAAAGTCCTGAATCTTACTTATAGTTACGAAACTGGATAAGGGACAGTTATTATGTGTAAAACAAAAACATGGAGTAGTTTATGGAATACTAAAGTTAAAAAATATATAGTTAAAGTTCCCTGTCATTTTAATAAGTTAGTAAACTTAGGACTTTTAAGTACTTATACTGGAATTATTACCATAAGATACTTGTCCAGATTATTGCATTTCATACTTAATACCACGAACTATTCTAGGTAAGACACTCACTGAAAAAAGGAGCAGTAGACAGCTTTTTTGTTCTTATATGTGACCTACTATTATAATTGAAGGATGGCTGAGAAATACTTCGAAGTTATGAATGTCAACCATTGAATGGTAATTCAGTTATTCTAATAGTTATACGTTCATTATGAGATCTGGCAGTCGTGGGTTAGATCTTACTATGAAACTCCTCGACAGAGCTCACCAAGGATCAAAACTGGGACTATAAGGTCTCATGGTGCGAACTTAAACTTTACACCAATAGCTTGCATTTCACCATTCTGTAAACATATCTTCCAATGTTATTAGTGTGTAACTGATCCACATCCGGAGATTATACGATAGGACTCAGAGAACAAAACACCTTTGAAATGGTTTAACTCCATTGGTTACGACTCCTGACTAGGACTTGGAAAATTGCCTCAATTGTGAGTACATTACGTAGTCTTTGAAGTTGCATTCATTCAGTCATAATACATACTGAACAATGATAATTAGTAATGAATAAGTCAGTCACATTCACGTATATCAGAAAAGATATATATCATATTCCGACTTTAAAAAAACAAGCATAAATGATATCATTTTACAGGTTTTTAAATCATGAATCAGTTGAAGCTAGACCACCATTGAAAACCTGGAAGCACTGGACGGCCGTTTCGTCCTGGTATGGGACTCCTCAGCAGTGCGCATCCACGATCCCGCACCACGCGGGGCTCGAACCCAGGACCTACTGGCTTCGCGCGCGAGCACTTAACCATTAGACCACTGAGCCGGCATCCAACGGTGTTAATGTCTAACTTCAACCAATCCACGAAGTTGCGCCACCGTACACCATTGTCTTCAGTGAGTTGTTATCTCACAACAGACCGGTTGAACTCCACTGGTAATGGCTTCTCACTAGAATTCCAGGAGCTTTTCTTGAAGTCAGTCACTAGTGAGCAGTTGATTACTATTATCAGAATGAGGAGTCCCATACCAGGACGAAACGGCCGTCCAGTGCTTCCAGGTTTTCAATGGTGGTCTAGCTTCAACTGACTCATGATTTAAAAACCTGTGAAATTTCGTAAATTCTCCACAAAACCCATTCTGATGATATCATTTTATTTTGAACAAATGGTTTTTCTACACTGATAGTTTGTATTTAAAGTCAATAATTTATAAAATTAAGAGTAAGTAGTACAACGAACAAGAGTATTTAACCAATCAATTGTTTTTTTTCACAAACCAATTGCGTTTTTAAGTAACTAGTATATTTATTTCTATCTTTCCTCTTGTAACTTAGAAATAGGACATGTCACAGAAAACTTCTTCAACTCAATTTAACTGAAGTAAACAAATAAGTGTTGTTTAATTACACCTTTTTGAATGTTAAAGATTCCCATTGTGAAAATTAGAACAACACATATAAGCGAACAATTGTTTTCAATTTGATCGTCATCAGGCTTTACTCTAATATACATGAATATTTATACGGAAATGTTAAACCAATCAACGCATTGTACAAAATAATATTATTTTTGTTCGGATTCTGTCAGATCATATCAAGGACTATGACATAAAAATTAACCCATAACCAACTGCAGTGCTTGTGTCACTAGTTTGTATTCGTAGTCTTACTGTTTATACGTGACAATCGGGGACCACTGTAATTCCCACGACGCAAAGCGAGAACACAGAAGACTGATGCAAATGGAAACCAATTGACTAGTTCAAAAGGTCTCAAGATACGTCGTTGTTAGACCAAAAATACACCCATTTATATACTGGGTTTTACACACAGTATCATAATGTAAAGGGGAAATTATATAGGGTGTGCCTTAGATGAATGAAGGTTGACACATGTCATATACAATGAAATTCATACTGAATTGATATAAAAAATATTGACCGAAAATGATGTCACCTTTTTATCCTATTATATCGTCATCAACATCAGAACATATGGAATTTGAAAGAAGCTCAAATCAAAGGGTTACGTAGATTGCATTGAAACAGGGATCCAACCCCGAAAATTCAGGTTTTTGGGAGAGTGCTTAACCATCAGACCTCCGAGTTGACATGTAAGAGTAAACATTTTTAACTTCAATCAATTCGTGAGGGCATACTGTTAAAGTCTTATACTATGATGAAACAGCTATCCAATGTCCCTTGGTCACAATTGATTGATCACTGGGTGGTGATCAATGTCATGCTTGTCTAGTCCTTATTAGTGCAGATCGAATGCTATCGATCATGTTGCAATGTGGCCACCAGTCTAGGTGACTCGACAATGCGGGCACTATGTATTAGGATTTTAGATGGTGGTTGGAGGTAGTCAACAGGAAACCCTGGACCCGGGTTTCGTGCTACTTGGCACTCGTCAGCTCAGTGGTAACATCTCTGACTGTGAAGCTGGGTGACACGAGATCGAATCCACCAGGGAGCACCAGTTCCCTCAAGATTACAGGTACACCTTGCTGACGAGTGCCAAGTAGCACGAAACCCGGGTCCAGGGTTTCTTGTTGACTACCTCCAACCACCATCTAAAATGTCCCTTGGTGTCTAATGGCCCCGCCCGCTATAGTTGGGTCAATTCATGAACAATATCACAGAGAGCTTATATTGGTCTCCATAAATACATCAAACCCTGTAATTTAATTACTAACCACATGAAATATTCCGTTAACGGTTACATAAAGTATGATGTTTTACTTCTTCCGTGTTTTTGAATAAGTAACCAAGTAAAGGTGTAGTTTTATTTTAACCGATCTTGTAAAAACAACCTTCAAATTAACAATCGTTTTCAATCTACTTGACTGGCGAAAATTTGTCAAAGTCGGTTAGGTTTTAAATTTTCCAACACCCAATGATAGTTGTCATCTAACATTAGGTGAGATTCGGAAATTGGCTTAAGCTATAATCTGACCGAATTATATGTTACATGTTAGTCATTCCAACGTGTACAAATCCATTTTACTAACGATCCATAATCCATGTTTTTGGTTTTTTTAGTAACTTTAACTCGAAAGTGACCATTTTACTTAAAATTATTACTTTAAGCTAGAAATCATGTAACCTGAAGAGAATTTATTGAAAATAATATTTACAGGTCAGTCACAACCCGAAAAGCTCCATGGAAACCTCTAAGGTTATGAACCTAGGTGACCCAGGTTTGAACATATTTCCCCGAAAAATGGAGGTACGCCTTAATAACTAGTGTCAAATAACGTGGAACCTAGGTTCAGGGTTTTCTGTCGACTAACTCCCACCACCTAACATGTAGTAAGTATTTTTCGTCCACATAATGATTCTACTTTGATAGAAATATGCAAATGGTTAAATCTTAATTAGACCAAGAAAGCTGGTGTTGATAGTTTATAGAATACCAGTTAGCCAACGAAGAAAGACTATGCGTTGGTCAACGAAATCATTCTAAGATATGTATAAAATGAAAAGTACGTAAATGAAATCTGTCAGGAAATTAGGTGACAAAGCTGCTTAAAGTATCAGTAGTGTAAATACATTTACAAGTTTTTATTTTTCAGTCAGTTGTTAAATATCATGTTAGGCTATATATAATTTTAATAGTACTTTCGTCTGTTTTTCATCGTCTTTTTTCTTAATAACTTGTTTTTTGCCTTCGAAATTTTCGATCTGATAAATATGGTTGTATTCGCTTTTTAATCTATGCTACTGTTGTGTAGTTCTTATGGTTTTAACAAATACACAATTGGATTTGGGCTCTTTATCAATTACTTATAGCCTGTAAATCGGGAGGTTGTGAATTACCTAATACAGTTTTAGTTTTCATATCACGAACTAACGTTAGTTAAACAACTAGTGGAAATCATAAAACAGAGGATAAATATTTTAATCTAGTATGGGACTCCTTTGCAATTCCCATCAAACACCACACTGGAGATTAAACGCAAGACCTTCAGGTCACATGTATTTGGATAAATGGTCCATCTTGTATGGATTGTTTGGGGTTTGTTTCTGTTTAACGCGGTAGGTTTTAGCAAAGCATGAAAGTCTGAAGCTACTCGCCTTTCATTTTGACGTTATTAAGATCGATATGGTGGTTGTTAAAATAGCATGTATTGTTATTGCTGGTTTGGTTTGTAAATTCCCCCGCTCTGCAGAATCGTTAGATCTTTTAGTGCAGCTTATATGCTTTTCGGTGTGAGTCATAATTTCACGAGACTCCCATAGAGAACGAATCAAAATTTACACATCCTAGTCTATAGACACAGATTCTATATCTAAGTGATAGAAATTAGATCTTTTGTCTGAACTAAAACATTTTGAAGTGTTCGTTATTTTATAGAGAATGCTAGGATTCTGTATGATCTAAGGGTTCATTGTAATTTGTTCGTTGTGCTCTGATGATATAGTTGAACCTAGTTCATGATGTGTACCATGAAACTCAACAAGCTTTCAACACTAGTAATTTTTCCCTTAGATTTCGTCACTTTTTGTGTTTTTGTATTTGTATTATATGATTTTTTTCAAATAACTAAACCGTTTTTTAGAGCTCACATTTGAGATTGGAATAGAATAAGAGAAATAACTAATGTAATTAGTTAAATGTATCATATTTTGGATCAGAAGTTACATAATACATGAATTGATATGAAAATCAATTAAATCCAGAGATGAGTGCTGATCACACTGCGTTTAAGTGTATAAGAAATCATTATTATTATTATTAAACAAATCTGATAAATTTGAGTCTTAACTGATAAGTCGCTGAAAAGAATATTCTTCGTTTATATACAAGTGATTGTTTTTTTCACAAACTGTTACGGGCTAGAGATTAGATATGGACGGATGTTTCCTCCTAGTATGGGACGCCCTAGTAGTGCGCAATCACAACTCCACCGACGGTCGAACGCAGGACATTCAGATGCTGTTGCGAGCACCTAACATGTAAAATACTAACTAATCTCCAGGGGTGATACTTGAAGTTCTGTTTAGAAGCCACGACTAGTGGAGGAAGTTAAATACCAATGGCATGAGAAGATGGCTGCTTAGTATCATGGATTGACTGAAGTTAGAAGTGTAAGCAAATGGATTCCAACTTACTGGTCTCAGGGTTACATGGGCGTCAAGACCTGACGGTCATGGATCGGATTCTTGGCAAAGTTGTAAGCACGCACTAGTGAGAAGTCCCACACTAGAGCAAAAGAACTGCTAAATGCACTCTGGTTTCCAGTGTCTGTCAAGCTAAGGTCAGTCCGTAGTGCAAACTACAAAACTCAATAATCCTCTCAAACCGATTACGTTACCAAATGTTACTTCTGAAAAAAAAATTAATCAACTATTCTTTTAATAGGATTAACAAAACGTCCTTGGACTTTACGTGACCCACTGAATTGTTGCTTGGATAATGCTAAATGTTGTAGGCGTAAAAGGTACTTTGGAAGAAAACTGGATGAAGATGACGAAGATGAATTTGGTTTGACACGGGGAGAACACGCTTGGAAAAATCGTGTATATCAGATTAGAAATCGAATGAATCCACTACTGATAAAAAAATTTACTCATGAAAGAATGAATAAGTATTGAGTTCTAAAAACGTTATTACTATATTGTGTATGTATCTGTCTATCCGTAAATATCTTAAAATAAACATTTTTTAAACACTTCATTATGATTTGTTAGAGATGAACATGTCGGTTACTAGGGTGAATTAAAGACAAACTGATGTTTTCCTATATGAAATTGAGGAAACTTGAGTGAATGAAGTTGCATTATTTAAGCTATCAACATCCTAGAAGGAAGCGAAAACGAATAAATAAATCCATTTCTTGGGAATACCAATAGTTTATCTGTGGTCGGGAACTGAAGATGAAGATAGATCAGCAAAGGGGATATACAAATATACTAAATTTACAAGAAAAGGAAGCATACTTTGAAACAATTCCATAGAGAAACGAGCCAAGAGACAACCCTTTCTGTTACAGTTACGAGTTAAGAGTAAAGAAAACACATAGTCTACACTGTGACTGTTAACAGTTGTATATGTATCTATTACATGGAGTTGAGCTATTCCTATTGTACAGAAAATTGGTGTTCGTGCACACGTTAATCACTGTAGGAAACGGTCTATGTTGGATGTTCAAACAAAACTTCATTGTTGGGTAAAACCATCAATCATCAAGTGAAAAGTGTATATCAAAGTCAAATACATTAAACACATACTTAGATAGGTTCCATTAAAAATCCAATTAAAAGAAAGTCAAATCAATACAAGGATATTTTAAATGACATTAAAAATATTAAGGCATCAATTGTGAAATAATTCAAGGATGACTTTTTGTGAAAAAAAGTCAAATATAAACAAATGTAACTTATTCATCAAGTGCAAGCATTTGTATTTGATGTCCAGGTACAATTTAGTTTCGTGAAAACTACTGGTATTACTCAACTGTCTAAACTGAAGTAAATGGTAAAGGGCTAGAAACTAAGACCTACTACCACCGCCACTGGTCATCGTGATCAGTGATAGTTTAACAAATAATTTATTAATAATACTGGGACTACTTTTAAAGTTCGAAATCAGAGATTCAACGTAAAAACTTGAATCCAAACAATTAGAGATAATAATATAGAAATAAGAAATTTAAACAGAAAGATTATTTCCAAAAATTAGTATTAATCAACCAACCTGAAGGCCAGAACCTCTGATTTTCTGAAGACGCCGACCTAGACGTTGTAAATCAGGGATGCGACGTAAGAAATCTTCATGCAATCCTCGACGTATCGCAGTTTCTTCAACAAACGATTCAACTAAATCCAAACGTTCTTCTACAAATTATGAAATAAAGTAAAAGTTACGTACGAATATCTAAGTGGTGAATAAATATTTCCTAAGGTTGAAGGGAAACAATTCATAAATATATAAGAGAAAATTCTTATTAGATTTATCAATGATAGTCGTTGATGTGTCCTAAAAAGTGATTTTTAAAACAAGTAATGTGGTAGTTATCTTCATTAACTTATTTACAACGGTCTGGTGTTACATTTTTATTTACCAGTGTACCAATCTAGTGAACATTAGATGTAAACTAGTTTGCACGGTAGGCACTGGGATTCCTACCATAAATTTCAAGAAATTAAATTGTAGATGCATTATAGATGTTTAGTATACATTTAATAATATACTAGATAAATACTTTCACAAAATGATGTAATAATATAAGGCTACTGCCTGTTAACGAGATATTTCAATTCGACTACAACTATTATCTTGTAAAGAATTTTTTACGTTATAATGACATACCAATTTTTGACTTATCTATTAAAGGTTGTCGAAGCCATTGAGCTAGAAGACGCTGGCCTTGAGCTGTTCGACAATTGTTCAATACGCCATAAACACTGTGAAACTTGTTTTCTAATAAAACATTGGAGGTTAAAAGTAAAACAGTATATGCGTTAAGAAATTACAACAGCGATAGACTGTTATCAACATTTAATTTAGTTATTATGTAACCGATCGGAAATGACTGAGATTAGCACCTGGTAATTAAAACACCAGACTCACAGTAGTTGGATTGTAGGCGAGAACTCGGCTTCACCTACTTTTTTATGAGCAGCCGAATCTCAGGGCTCTGTATAGAGAATAAATCTGTCTTATATTTGCATTTACTAATAAACATATGATCGTTTGTTTACTAATAACTAACTTTGAGCCAAGTTACTGAAGTTCTACAGGGAATTCATGACAGATAGACACGGAGAATAAAATAGTTATCACTAATCGTATTGAATGGCTGTCGACAAAGTAACAAATCGATTGAATCTGAAAATGTATATGATTGGATATACGACCTAATGATCTAATGTTTTAGCGATCACAATAAGATCTGAAGATCCTGGGTTTGATCGCTGGTGAGGTCGTGAGTGAGCACAACTCAGTAGTCTGATACTAGAGCGAAATAGCTATCCAGTACTCTGATTTTTAATGATATCCCCAAAAAAGGTTGATCTGTGAAAAACAGTATATACAAATTAAATCAGTCTTTAAAACGCTACAGAAACGATGCATCCTTAGTATAACTACTTTCATTTTATGTACAATGGCATTTGAAAACACTCTTCTTCCACTAGTTATTTATCGTGTTCCTCTAATCTATTTCAATTATAATTTATTTCCAGCGTCCTTTAAAATAATTTTAAAATATATTCATGCTTAATTAGTGAAAAAAACATATTTCTTATGAATGCCTTGCTCTATTTATATTATAATGCACTGTCAGTACACTAATTTTGTTCTCCTTTCTTGTTTTATACATATCCTGTAAAATTTACGCAACCCTGGATTATTGTCCTTTACACTACATGATTTAGTATCATACGCTTTATTACTACATTATCATGATTATACACTGTCCATATTTTTCTTTACAAAATTAATTTATGCAAATAATAGAATTCTTGTTTATGATTACTGATTTAGCGTTAAGTAGAAGTTATAATCGCGTGATTACTTTGGCTATTTAGTAAACCTACAGACACTTTCAACTTGAGTGCTAGAAATACTATTCGATTTTCTGTATCAAAATAGGTGAACTGAGAAACGAACTTGCGATCTAATAACTGAAGGTCAGGTGCCTCTATCAATCTGCTACTCATGTTGTTATTACTTTAAAGGTAAATTGAAAAAGAGCTGTTTATATCATTAGAGGGAGGTGCATTTCAGAAAAACGAGGGTTATATAATCAGCGAAAATTTGCAGGTAAGGCTTTTATGTATTAGTGTTTAAAAAATCATATAGTCAAATATTGTCTAAGTTTCATACTAAAAACAATATGAAAAAACAAAATGACAAACAATTTATCCACCTAACACTCACTATCATCTGGACCAGGTAATAAGTGCAATGCCCGACTGACAGCACTATCTAGGCGTACATGGTTTTCAAGACTAAAAGTTTCTAATGTGAATACATGACGATTCGTGTCAAAAGCGTTTAGCTAATGAAAAAGAAGGCCAGTTAGAAGATAAATCAAACATCCCATTAAAAAACAAAAAAATGTGACGGAAAAATCTAGGATCCATCAAGAAGCTTCATTTAACCATATAAATAAATAAAGTGAACACCGATTCACAAGGGGAATTTATCAACCAATAGTATGTATTACAAAAACAGCTTCAGATATTCGCAAACACTACATAGCAAAGCTTAAATAACCTAGAACTTGCATTTTATTATTAAACCATGTCCTTTTATCGATTTATATTAGCAGGCAGATAAGATTAGTTCTATTTTGTTAAAGTGCAGATCCTTCTGAAGTTTCTAAGTGATGATGCGAAGAATGCTTGAAATGAAATTCTTTTCCCTCGTTAATTTAGAACATTACTTAGGAAAGGATATGTATCGTTATTATTGTTTTTGATTGTAATGATACCTGCATTATTAATCGTAGGTTCGATGTATCAACAGTAATCAAAAAAGTTAACACTGTAAATTTTCAGAGATTTGCTGTAGTATATTTGGTCCAAAAGAAATTTATAAGATTGAGAGACATGTTCACGGGTATTATTTCATGTACAGATTTGTTGGTTTACGCGTGATGATCGCCATCAATGGTTGGAAAGTGGGGTGACGTGGCTCAAACGCATTCATTCTCCCAATTTTGAATTTCAGTATCTTTTTATACTTTTCCATTCTGTCTCCTCAAACTATAGTTCCAAGTTTTCTTTCTTTCGATCGCTTCTGTTAATTTTATCTAGTGCTGATGAGTGATAAGCCATTTTAGGCTAACACAAATGTGTATCAGGCTTTAGATGGATATCTGTTTGTCATGTACAAACTCAAACCTCGAATTGCTTTCCTTTTGGAAAATCGATGAACTAATTTATGGCACTTTGATAACTACAAGTAAAAATTAAGGAAAAACGAACACAGAAACACTAATTTGATTCTTACTATAAGTATAATATTTACTGATTTTCTGACTTCACTAATTATCCCTAGATTGTACTATAATGACGATGGTTCTTAGAGCTGCTAAATACCTAAATATAACGTTTTATTAAAAAAAATATTAATCTTCTTCGATCTCTCCCGATAAATCTATTTTATAAGGTTTGTCTTTTGAAGTAGTTGAAGTTAGAAAAGACAAGAACGCTGTTATATCCCGGGCATCAAATTATCGTTAGATTTATCGATTGTATTCAGCAAACTTGACAGACAAATGTAGTATTGCATTACTTAAGAAAAGAGCTCGGTACACAAAAAGTAGATATCAACTATTTAAGGTTCAATGGTAATTATCCTATTAAGGACATAAGTTTAGTGATTATATATATATGGAATGACCACTCAAAGAAACTAGACAATCAACTCCATTAAATTAACAATAGCTCATAATAATGCCAAGCTTTTTTTCCTACCGAGATTAACCAATTCAAAAAAATTATAAGGAACAATCAGACATACCATTATACTTATTAACTTGACACTCATTAATTATGTTCAATGACCGAAGAAAGGAACTTAGAACATTCGAAAGTATCATTTCAGTTAGCTACGAAAGTGAAAAACTTACATCTAGGAATTTTATTATGGCACCCAGACAAGACAATGCATCTTTGAGAAGAAACTCTAAAATTCAGTGTAAAAGAATTGATTATATATATAATGTAAATACGAACAAGCAAAATTTTAAGCAATTATTAATTGCCTGAGACTAGTTTTTGTAAAGGATAACAACCAAAACATTGTAAAGGATGAAATGATTTTATTTCATTTGGTCTACGTTAAAATCTTCCCTTATATAAGCATTAATCTGTAGAGATAAACAGAATATTTTATTAAGTGCAATTTTGTGTATAACATGTGTATAGTGGAAGATAATTATGATTATTTTCGATATTTATACGAGTTTAGTTTGAATATAAGTGGAGTAAGCGAGAGAAACAATGACGTAACCAAACACATGTACAAATTTGTTTGATTTCGGTAAACAAAATGATCAAATTCACAGCTATTATAAAAAACGGTAATAAAGTACAATAATGGTGATAATATTAGGAATAGTAGTTGAAGATTATATGTCTAATGCAATTAGTTGGATGGGTAAATTGACAGAACGATCCAACTGTAATGCATTTGAAACATTGCATTATCAATTTCTAGTTTCGATTATCAGATTGTCATGATCTCGTGCTTGTGTTATTACTATTTGTTTTCGATTGCTTTCATCAATAAACGTAAGTGCATTTTATGTGCTTATGAAGTCGTCTGCTCACTTCTATTTCAAATTCCTTACCGTCCGAAAAGCGATGACTGATAACAATACCAATACCATAATTAACAATTATTTCCAATTACAAGTTATAATCTGTTAATGAATCAGAGGATAACATTTTCTTGATTTTGTCAAGGGGATTTTGACACTCGTCTGATCACTTCCATGTTGCATTAACTGTTAAGAGCTGATTTAACGGACGGCGTAGTGTCAGCAAAGCCGGAACAAATGCACTACAATATCCAATCGTTCCTGAAAATGATAGAAATGTCATTACATCAGTCGGTGGAGACACTTGTTTAGTGGCATATATATTATCTGGATCCGGTCGACGACCATGTTTATCAAATATGAATCTAAGAAAATTAACAGATTCAAGAAATAGTTCACATTTATATTTTTACAGTCGAAAACCAGACTCTGATATTCTTGTAAGTAGATTGTCCAAAGAAGACAATTTTTCTTTAAAGTTACTACAATAATAATATTATCCAAGTAGGCTGCAACATCATCGAGATTCAATATCATAGTATGTATTAACTTTTGAAAAATTGAAGAAGCTAGCTTTAGAGCGGAAAGTAATCTGTTGTACTGGTAAAGCCCATGATGAGTACTAATAGTTAGACAATGTTTAGAATCAACTTCTAATTGCGAATAGGCATTAGATAAATCAATTTTTGCAAACTAACGTCCAACATTTAGTTTTATGAATATACCCTCAGGTAAAGGTAATGGATATGAGTGATTTTGCAAAGCATTATTCAATCCCGTAGAGTAGTCAGCACAGGCGGATGGTTCCATCAGTTTTCTGAACTAGAACAATAGTGGCTGACCATGATGAAAGACTAACTGGATTTGTACATTCATAAGGAAAATTGGTTTCGCTCCATGTTGTAAATACAATTTGGCTTTGGATGTTACATTTAGCACAGGTGAGTTATTGAGTGCAAGAATCGTTTAGTGTAAATACTGTATCCAGTGGGATATTCTAGAGATTTAGTTTATCGATCCAATCAATACCCACAAGGTCTAAATCGTGTCTACTTATCAAATAACAAGTTTCATTAAAAAAGTAATCTCTAAATTGAACAATATATTCGATCATTTCGACGGGTTGTAGAATACTCCCAGATCCTTTACGAACCATATTTTCTGTGGGCAGTATTGAGGGATAACCCAGAAGTTTCCATGTCTTTCCAGAAATGATTGTGATATTAAATGCTGTATCTAATTGAACACGAATCGGGACATTATTTATGAACAGACCCACTTATGAAATAGATAGCATGCATTCGCTGAATATATAATACGAACATACTTTCTGTGACTCTGGGAAAACTTCATTTGTGATTTGGAATTTAAATAATTCCGTTGTTGACAGAAAGTATATTTATGATCAAATTTACAACATACCTTACATCAGTGATTCCAACAACGACAAGTCTTCGCAAAATACCATTCAACAGAAAACCAACATTTTGTAAGTTACTTTAGTTTAGCTTGGTGGCGATTGTGAACAGAATATTATCTTCTCTGCAGTATTTTACAGAATGAATATTACTATTTTTCGGGGTTTTTCATCTAGTTCCTACCATTGCAGTGCCACGCTTTAAATTTAGCAAGCGTTGGCAATGCAGTGATCATTTGTAATACCATTTCATCATCAATATGGGATAATAATCGAGTTCGAACATCGGCATCTGTGGAAGACTATAATCCAGAAACAAACAATAAACATTTAAATTGGTCATTTGATAATGTACTTAATTTAAGCGTTCAACTTGTAGATTAATCCTGCTTGCGTACGTCAGATAATCTTCACCAGCGTCCTTTTTTAACTGGAGGCATCTATAACGAATATGAAATAACAAAGCTTGTTCACAAAATATCTTGTTCAAAATACCAACGGTTTCATCAAAATTCAACTCCCTTGGGTGTCTTGGCAGGATAACATTTCCATATTTAGTATCCTTGTGGGTCAAGTTTTTGTGATACCAATCTTACGTTCCTTTCATCTGAGAAAGATATTCGATGCTAGCGAACCATAATTCAAATATATGACCACTTTCCGAATCAAAAATAAGTAATGGTTCTATTTCCTCATCTTTTGCGGTGCATTTGGACTGGATTGAAGATTTTGATGCAAGTGATGTAAGCATCTGTTCTTGAGAAGCTAAAAATTGACTCTGCTGTTGCTGAAGAAATAATTGCATTTGCTCCATTAAAGTTGACATATTGATTTTCTTCTTCTGCATGAGTCAGGACAGTAATAAGAAAAAGACTGAATGACTAATTAATAACTAATGTCGTGCAAGGACACCGACGACAGCTCTGTACGTTGTGTTCAAATAATTACACTGACTCTCGTTCAATTACTGGATGGCCTCGATTCCTTTGTGAAAGTCGAGGTCGTAGACTTTCCATCCCGTAGCCAACTTGTTGTCCTATGATCCATCAAATAACATATGATAAAATCGCCTTTTTGAATACCGATTTATATAACCTTGTCCCTTTGCTAAAGCAATGATGCGTTAACCAGCACGAACAGCCTTCAGTCAACTCTCAATTCTTATTGGTCCTCTGTATAGCAACTTCTCGCCTAGCCCAACCCGTTCAGTCTAGAACAAAAATATCACACTCCACTGTGTGAATCGTATATTTCAGACATACTCGGTCTACATACAAGCAAACCAGACCGCATCATAATACAGAATGAAAAAAGAAATGTCATACACGACCACGCCAAAAGTATCTGTGAACGTGGGATATTGTGGCCGATATGTTGGGAACAAGTTAAGAATGGCAAATCGTATTGCGGTAGCCAAATGAAAGCTTATGACGAAAGGAATGTAAACATATAATCTAGGTACCCAATAGTTATTCTTCGGATGTAACAACGTTAAGATGAGGCAATCAACAGATGCAACTTGCACTATAGTGGGAACACTACAGTAATAATTATTCATATACTTATTTTTATAAGGACTAAAATACAATGGATCTAATTTTCAATAGTTGGGAACAATATGAACCTAAGTATTAAAGACGTTTAGAGCGTAAATGGGTCCATTGACTAATATTTTTTACTTAATAGAAATAAAATTTGCATATCATCGACTACTATGGAAAGTTTTGGACACTTGATCTATGGTTTTATGCACACCAAAGTGTACGAAAAATACTAGTTCATTTTTTTGAAGACATTTATACTACTTAGTCTGTTGTTAATAGTTTAATAACTGGTAGCTATAGAAGAAAATAATATATGAGTAATAAATTCTTGACACAATTTGCTGTTACTAATTTCATCGTTTGAATTTTCAGGAATTCAACTCCTACCAGATGGTCCACTTATCGACTTAGAAAACGGAGATGACACAGTCCTGTTTGATGAGGACGCCGATGAAATGTACAGTTTTAAGGTAGCACAGAGTGGCAATGCCAGGATGTTTGAGATGCGTTTCTCCCACTCTAAATGCAAGTTGTTGCTTCAGCACTGGTCTACGTCAAAACCTGAACTAAGGATAGGGAGTTAAGTAGTCGACAACTTCACTTATCATGAAAGTCTGAACAACTCTGATTGATTGGTATCTGACGAAATATCTGCACGTATTCGAAAAGACGAGATATCTGTCTATCAATAAAAGGACGAGTATACTGTGCAGCAGTTCGTTGTTCTACTTTACGGCTGCGAAACGTGACCACTAAGAGTAGAGGATGGTCGTTAGCTTCAAGTATTTGATCACAGATGTCTTAGATTATTGCTCGCATCTTCTGAAATCATCGGGTAAGTAATAGTGAGGTTAGACGTAGGGTATTAGGGAATGATGGTAAATCCGTTGATGAGGTTGTAAATCTTTATCGAATGAGATAGTTGGGTCACGTGTTATATATGTCTGAACACCGATTACCACGACGCGCAGTGCTGACTAGTGTTGAAGACAGCTGAACGAAAGTTAGGGGAGGTAAAACCAAAACTTGGCATTAGTTCTTGAAGTCACTAACTTCTGGTCTGAGCCATGTTGGTAGACGCAAACTACTTGGTTGGGGTTCGTGCGACTATAATAACCAATGTTCGGAGACTCTGACTGACATGGCTCACAGTCGATCTCAGTGGCGCGCATGCATTCACATGCTACCTCTATAGATCAGTGTTTCCAATATTCCTCCATACACACCTTCCCATCAACTTTGCGAACCACATTATTAATGTTTATTCTTCCTTATTATGGTTGCTGTTACATTATTTCGGTTTCTCTGACGTACATCTTGTTAATTTCATTTCGTCGACCTAATGTGATATGACAACTTAGACCAACGCCTGTTTGAACCGAGCTCTATGTTTATATCTATCTTTCTGAGTTCACCCTTATCAAGCAGCTTTCGTTGACACACATTTTTGTCTGTCTCTTTGTTGATTATTTCTAACTGGTTGTTCAAGCATCATATGTGCCAAGCTCTTTGTTCACTATGACTGACACGTATTAACGACGTCGAATTTCCGGCTACTGGTAAGATTCGAAAGTTTCTACAAGTTGTATATATTTCTGTTAGAAACCCTTGAAACTATACTATATATATTGCAGGCCTCAGGGTATTTTACTGATTACATGATCATTCTATGACACCACTTCATGAACAGAAAATAATTAACATGAGTTTCAATAATAATGCAAAAACCAAAACTCAACTGAAAACTTGTTACGAGAGATTAGTACAAAATACATCCACATAAGCATACGAGAAGCGATGATTTTAGGTTTGTTTACAGTCAGTCAGTCATACTCAATGTAGGACCTGTCACATATGTGAATCGGTGTAAGTTGTCACACTGCACTAGCATAGCGAAATGAAATTATCAAGACAAATCCCAGATTGTTAGAAAGTTTAACAATACCAGTAATAATAGAAAGGATTAGGTAAACAGCAAACGGAAAAGTTGTAGCCTTATTATAATATTGATTCGATAGCATGAAATGCCAAACAAAGCCAACTGCTTTGCATAGAAAATTTTTTAAAGTAGGTACACCAGTAAAACAGATGAATTTCATGTACAGATTGTGATTAAAATCCACAATAATCTAATTATCTTTGCTTTTCGGTGGGTATAATAGTAGCATCTGACTGAATAGCATTCAAAAACAGATTACCTTTCTCGTAGAGCAAAGAGCCATTTGAGTTTTCTTTTTCAGATCGCAGGAAATAGATCAAGTCTTGTGGTTTAATTGTGTGCGAGAATTCAGCTTAAATAAGCAAAAACAAAGAGCTTTATGAGATCATAACTGGAACCAAACAACATTTATATAAATGTGGATCAAAACTAAGAGTAAAATTCCAGTGTTTTTATCTCTTCAGATACAAGTACCAGAAATGGGAACTAAAATCATAGCTGCTGTCATTAATCAAAAATCCCTCGACATTTGATGAGCTATATTCACAAAAAGATTTCGTACTGTAGGTTGGAGAACTCAGTTTAATGGTTTAAACTTAATGCAACACTAAACTACGACCAAAAATATTTGATAATTCATAATTACGAACAAATATGGGATCAGAAATATGGTTTCATCTGACCTTAAAACAGGTATTTTCCGCTTTAGTAAACATGATGCACATCTCACCAATTTAGATTTACAATTTTTGCATTTAAAGCATTAATTTCCTAGACCACAGACTAAATTTCGCACTGAAGATTTCATAAAATAACTAGTGGTGAAAAAGTTGTAGTTTTTTCATCCCATTAAACCCACATTTTGTCTTACATATCTGTATGAAAATAAGTATATTTTGGTGGTCTAAACGATTTCTGACTAGTGGTACAGGGTAATTTGACGGATAAATTCAAAATGGTTGTTTGATTAATTTAAATTTTGTGTAGTGAGTGATCAAAAAAACGTGAGGTACCACTTGGTGTATGGGAAATGAAGACCCTTAAGTTTAGCTAACACAGATTTCTGAGGATGTCTTCGGAACAAGTCTGGTACTAATAAATTGCGAAAATTTTAGCCTAAGACTAAATTGAGTAGAAGTTGGTAAACTGATAAAACACACCGATAAAAACTTACTTGGGTTAATAAAATGATAGTGTTTAATTAGAGATGACGAAATGCATAAACTTATTTAACTTTGATGACTAGACTATTCAATAATATACTCTTATAGCATTACCGCAATCAAATGCTTTTGACAATTATCACATCAATATTAGATGGAGACCAAGAATGATTTAATGCATGGTGTTAAATTATGACCGGGTTTCAGATTCGAATTTCTGGCAGCACCAACAATCGCATCTTTGGGTGATACACGCCCAATGGTTTATTCTATTTTTCTTAATAGGAGGTTTAGGACTGTTTGGAAAGCTACACGTCAATTTATACCCGACCGAAGCTGCTACCTTGACGCGGTGGTCGGGCTTGCCTATCGTGATGACCCAACCGAGCTATATTGGCTGGAAAATATGTTCCTGTAGGTTCTACCATGCCAGGCAGGTCGATTGGTGAACGGTAAGACTAAAAGCAGCAACTCAAGGTCCGAGGGCGAAGTCGTACTGCTGACTGTAGAGAGGTGTGACAGCAGTAAGGTGTTTCTCTCAGACAACCAACATGACAGCGATGCTGCCTTCCCACAAGGAGGGGTGAGGTTAGAAAAGGTTGACCCTAAAAATGTCACACCTCACCTTACCTCACGGATTTACGTCTCTGGCGGTAAGACCCTTTGAAGAACGGAGCTAACGCGTCAAAAACCCTCCACAAAAAGGCCGTGCGCGACTGGCCTCAAGCAGTTGTCCCTTGGGCTTTGCGGTCACGCTCCCAGGTCGTCAAGACCAACACTAATCCCAATTCCTTCTCAGGTTCCTCAAAAAATACCCTTCCACGGTGTGGGCAGCCGGGAAGTGATATCAGCCCTCATACCCGTAACAGCGCACGTAAGCAAGTTGGTCACATTCAAATCCTTCCTACACCTAATACCTCTCTTATCTCCATGATTAACCGTCCTCACGTCTCTTTATCACCTCGCACCGCTAGGGCAAACGATTCTAGTACGTGGAACTCTATTCCTGGTCTCCTGAAACCACGCTCTAAACTACACGTACGAGCTTTTAACGTCCGAACACTGTGCCAAATAGGACAACAGGCTTCCTTAACTAGGACTTCAGAATCACACGCCATCGATGTGTGCTGCGTCTCCGAAACGCGCATACAGGATCCGAGTAGCGTCATTCATTTGACCTCACCATGCCAAAATAAAGAACCGACTCGATTTACGCTTCGTCTATCTGGAAGCCCTGATTCTGCTTCCCGTGGACTCGCCGGCGTAGGTATAGCATTGAGCCCTAGGGCAGAATTAGCTCTCTTAGAGTGGATCCCAGTAGACAGCCGTTTGTGCGCTGTCCGACTGAACGGAACAATAAGGACTCGGAAATATAGGGACACTCGTCGTTGCCTCTTTGTCGTCCCTGCCTATTCTCCCACTGACTGCAGCTCAGATGATGTAAAAGATGAGTTTTACAGAAAGCTTTCCGACCTTCTCCGAAAAGCTAGGCGCTCTGATGTAGTAATAGTGGCCGGTGACTTTAATGCTCAAGTAGGTAAACTAAGCGATAGGGAAAGACACCTACGTGGATCTTATGGTGTCGTGGCTCAAAGAACAGATAATGGCGACCGTCTGTTGCAGCTATGCTCAGATAATCGCCTGCTCCTTGCAAATACTAACTTTAAGCATAAGGAAAAACATCTTTTAACATGGAGACCGATGGAGGGACTCGATAGAAGACTGTCGCTCATTCTGGAGCACATGCTTAAATTCAGATCATGCTCTAATACGAGCGCGTATTTGCTTGCGTCTTACTGGACGTAGGAAAGACGCTGCAAGGAAACCTCTTAGGGGCCTACTTAATGATAGTCAAGCTAAGAGTATATTTCAGGAACAACTAGGAAAACAGTTAGGCAGCCATGTATGTGATGCCCACCCCGATGCAGCATGGAATAATATCCGAAAAGCTGTGGAAACAGCAGTGATATCTGCTAGTAAGGTAAACCAGAAGGTTAGGTAGCAACACTGGATCTCAGCAGCATCTATCGCACTGATAGATGCTCGGAAACTCATTCCACCTGGCTCTGAACATAGTGAAGAGCGGAGTCAGCTTAAGCGCAAGCTGACAAGAAGTCTACGCAATGATCGCGAACAGTGGTGGGTAGCGAAAGCAAGAGAGATGGGGAAGACAGCAGCAATAGGTAATAGCAGACAATTTTTCAGACTTGTTAAGGAAAGTAGCATTAGGAGACCGACTGTTAGCGAAACACTCTCAGAGGAAGATGGGAATATTATACATCCTCAATCCAGGAGATTGGATCGATGGGCAGAACACTTCAGGGATCAGTTCAACTGGCCTTCAGCCACACTTCAGTTTCGCACGATCTCCAGTCAACCTGAATGGCAAGTTAATGTAAGTTCTCCGTCTCTTTACGAAGTTGAAAAAGCCATAGAAAATCTGAAGAGAGGGAGAGCAGCAGGCATTGACAGGTTTACCCCTGAGATTTTTAAGGATGGTGGTCCAGTATTAGCAATGAGATTAACCGAGGTCTTAGGTAGAATTTGGGAACTGGACGTAATCCCATCTGACTGGTCTCAATCACTGATTGTGCCAGTCTATAAGAAAGGACAAAAGTCCTCTTGTGACAATCACAGAGGAATCAGTTTGACTAATATAGTGTCTAAAATATTAGCCTCAATAATACTTCGACGCCTAATCAAAGCTCGTGAAGAGCAGATTAGAGAAAACCAGGCTGGTTTTCGACCTGGACGTGGTTGTATAGATCAGATATTCACACTACGTTAGGTTCTAGAACACAGACACACGTTTAGACGCCCCACAATGGTAGTATTTCTTAACCTTAAGGCGGCATTCGACTCTGTTAATCGTGAGGTTCTATGGCAGTGTTTGTCACTGAAAGGAGTACCAAAGAAGTACATTAGCCTTATTCAGGCTCTCTACTCGAACACAACTGGTAGAGTGAGAGCTTATGGTAAACTGTCATCAGAATTCATTACATCAAGTGGTGTTCGTCAGGGCTGTCCACTCTCCCCATTCTTGTTCACCTTTGTGGTCGACGTACTTTTAGAGATAGCACTCTTCTTATCTAAATTTCCAGGGGTTGAACTTCTACCGGGAGGTTCACTTGTTGACTTGGAATATGCTGATGACATAGTTTTATTTGGTGAAGTCGCTGACAAAATGCAGTCTTCTGACCACTCTAAGCAGCAATGCAAGCATGTTCGGGATGCGATTCTCTCCCTCGAAATACAAAATGTTGCTTTAGGACTGAGTTACATCGACCCCCGAACTAGTGATAGGGAGTGAAGTAGTTGAGTGTGTCGAACGCTTCACTGATCTTGGAAGTCTCATCAGCCCTTGTGGTCTGGTGTGTGACGAAATCTCAGCACGGATACAGAAGGCTCGACTAGCTTTTGCCAACTTGCGTCATTTATGGCGTAGGCGAGATATCCGTCTATCAACCAAAGGACATGTTTACTGCGCAGCAGTCCGTCCCGTCCTACTTTATGGCAGTGAAACATGGCCGATAAGGGTAGAGGATATTCGTAGGCTACTAGTATTCGATCATAAATGTCTTCGAAACATTGCTCGTGTATCATGGGACCATCAAGTAACACAGTTGTTAGGAAACGGGTACTAGGTAAGGATGGCAAATCAATTGATGAAGTAGTGAAAATTCATCAGTTGAGATGGCTGGGACACGTGTTACGTATGCCCAACGACCGACTGCCTCGACGTGCGATGTTCAGTGGTATAGGAGTAGGTTGGAAGAAAGCTAGGGGCGGCCAGACCAAAACATGGCACAAGTCCATGAAGTCACTGACAAGTGGTCTAAGTCATGTTGGTAGGTGTAGACTACCTGGTTGGGGACCGCGAGATGATAGCAACCGATGGTTTGAGACCCTGAATGACATGGCTCAAAATCGTTTGCAATGGCGCAGGTGCATCCACTCTTTGTGTTCTCCCGAATTCTAACCTTCTGAATTCTTCATATCCCTTTTTTCCTCTTTCCAAATTTATTTCACTGAATTATACTCTTTAAATGACATCTCCAAACCCTAATCTTCCCGATCACTGCTTACACTCTTGCTACCTCTACCACTACGGGATTTGGATCGACAACTGCATCTCTGTGTTAAGGTGGTGTGGCAACTCGAACTGATGTACGTACGTACGAAGTTCTACGTTGTTACTGACTGACTGACGTCAATTTATACGGCTATAGCCTAACCCTAATTTATGGAGGTTTTTTAGAAGTGGTATGACACGAAAACAAAGCTAACCAGCAGTAATAGTTGGTTGATTCTAACCAGGTTCGTAGACCCTTTTGTATTAAATTGAACAGTAACTTTGAATAATGTAATCAGGTTCACTATCTAATCCGCTCCTTACTGGTTCAGAAAAATGGCCTTTTCCAGTTAATACAAAAAACTATCACTGATCTTCGAACTTTAATTATTACTCTAAGATATTTCAAAAAAAGAGCAAATATGAGGAGTTAACAGATGTGGAAAATCAGGTTTTACGGAGGTATGATAAATAAGCAATGAGAATACGATCAGTAAGAACATTGGTCATCCCAATTTAATCACTAGCAAACAACATAAAAGAACATCGACTAAGGTGACCAAATTTCAGCGATATATGAAATTAAGAGATATTTTTGATATCAAACATAGCTTAGAAAGGTCTATCGATTACCAAGGTGCAGAACTTACACTTTTTTACTTCAGTAGGTAAAATCCCAGTTTTTTCAAAGATTAAACTGACGTGCTCCGAAATAGCATTGCCCAAAGGTGTGACATCAGATTTCGGAATATCTGGATGTGAAAGCAGTCCGGTAGGGACAAGACATTCTCTTGTTTTAAGTTGAACAAGAGCAGTTTCCAAGTTCGCTAGGTGCGCTGAGTCAATGAATTCACCAACAAGAAACTTCCGACTTTCAATTTCACAAAACGCTAGGCAAACATGCTGAAATACAGAGCAAATGTCTTGTTTGATTGAATAATTAACTCCAATAACAAAAATCAAAAACATTGTAACACTAGGACATGGAACAGAATTAATGAATTCCAAACAGATATCACCAAATGACATCTTATGTAGATGAAAACCACCTTCAAGCTTAACGCAATAACCTTTTCCTTAGCCATAATGATGAGTAATTGATGTTCTGGCTACCAAAGTTAAACCTTTCGCCAACTGTTCTAGCCAAAGATTTCAGTTGTGACGCTCTTGCCTGTGGCTTCAATTATAACATAAGGCAGTAATAGAGTAACACAACTTTTTTATCTCCTAGTGACACTTTCCGGCATTTGAACGTAGCTACTCAGGCTGAAAGTACCTAAATATTCTAATATAAACGTAGGATTTAGTTATTTAGATTATCAGAAAAGTATTGTACCGAAATGTTACTAATCTAAATCTTAAGAATTGACTTTAGGTGTACTTTTAAGGGTGTTAGTATACTTACTGAGTTTATACATGTAAATTTTGGAGACCGAAAATGTAGACACCATAAATAGAGATAGCACTAAATAAATGGAGAAAACGGTAGTACAATCCAAAAGAAAAAACAAATTGACGAGAATTCATACTAGGATATAGAGCTCGTCTGAAAATACAACCAGGAACCTTTTTTATCTAAGAACGTTTCTCACAATTTTTTCCCAATAGCTATTATATTGTGGCATATTTGCTAACGTTCCAAGTTACATAGTTGAACCACCTATATAATATAAAACTTATGGTTTGAATTAGACGTAACAGACAGTTTCTGATGAAACCAGTAATCTACGTTCCCTGTTAGGAAAATTCTGACGCTGTAAGTATCATCAAGTGATATTTAATACCTTACATACGAAGTGTCTAACCCAAGTTAATCGTTACATTCACATATTTGGGTAGTTTTGTCTGTTATCAACAAGGTTGGTGAACATTAGCAGCGAATCGCATACGGTTGTAAAATTTGCACTAAACTTACTATTCGTTCGTTTAGCTGCTTTACATTTACTGCACTGAGTCCACAAGCTTCAACTGAATCTGATGTGGATGTAAGGAGATCTTCTACTGAACCCAAGTTCCCAGGAGAAGCCTGAAAATAAGCTAATAGCTGGCTCTACAAACCTTTAACTTAAGGCTCCACTCATTATCTCTCCCACATTTGGATGTGGAACCATATATTTCAATGCGATATTGCCTCTTTAGAAGAAAATGTCTCAAAAAGTCAGTGTTTTGTTTCTTGACAGTGACATACGGCAGGCTTGACTTCCCCCTGGAAAACCGCTTTACGAGGGACGGATTTTTGTAGTAATCTGTAGCCACAAGAATAGCATCAGAATCATGAAGCGTCATTATCTCCTGGAAAGAAATAACTCCAATTAATATGGCTTACTCCTTTTTCGAAGCATCGAAGAGTGGTAGAAGGCTTCTAGATTGGAAAGTAACTTTTGAAAATTTTATCCTTACAGGTCCAAGAGATTTCCAGAAGGAATAAAACCCATCTTCCAAGGAAACACCCGACTGCATATTGTTACCGGCGTCTATTTGGAAGCAGGAGAGATCTAAAACAACAGCATACAAATAAGGGTCAGTGAATGTTTCTAAGCAAGAACACGACGTGCTAGCACTATATATATATATATATATATATATATATATATATATATTTCAGAAATCGAATAACGTATTTGGGCCACAAAAGGGAAAGGTTATTTTGAAGATAGTCTTATCCATCACGCAGATCCTGTTCTTTTTCCCCCAGCACGTTTACTTATTGTTTCCTAGTAATAAGGAAAACATATTCATTTTAATAGCGTTAAGTATGGTGAAGCATGGTGAAGCAAGGTGAAGCGAGGTGAAAACTGTGATTTTCTAACCAGTTGCGCAGAGCGCCTAATCAAGAAACCCTATATTTCTGTGCTCAATAGATCCAATCAAAAAAGATACTGTCAAATGGGTAGTAAAAAAAAAATAAGGTATTTCCTAACGATCTCTAGTTTATGGTAGCAGTGAGTCACCCATAATTACATCTAGAGCCTCAAGTATATGGGAACAAAAGGAAGTGATAGATGTAATATGTGCACCGGTAAGTATTGGGTAATTTTGGAGATTTTGACAAACGTCTACTCTCTAAAATAAATAGCCTCGAGGGCATATAATAGTTCTAACGATTGACTATTTCGGAACCAGTTCTAGTTCCGTAAATAGTACATTCATTTATGATCATCTTGTTCTGTCTTAAATTGGATCATTCTGGTAAATCTAAATTAGTATATTGCTTCGTTCAGCACTATGAAGCAGATCGGGGATCTGATTTATAACAGAAGGTCGACAACAATTTGGAGAATAGCTTCAGAATATCGAACTTATTAGTCGGCTTTATATTAAAATGTCGACAATAATAAAAGAGGCTGGAGAAAGGAAATTCAGCAATCGATTTTCAAACTTCCACATGTCCAGGCATTATTTGTTGAAATTTAGATTAGCTCATCTGAGAAACCAGTGTGTTGGAAAACATAGAAGGAAATAAAGATGTGTACTGGACTAAAAGATAGTAAAACTACAAAATATTACAAATGTTTTTGTTGCTCTCTCAAACCTTTTGGGTAAATTGCATGATACTAAATGTTGTTCGACGACATAATTGTACAGCAAAATTGTTTAGATAGCTTCTGAACTCGATACTACTGCAGAATGCTCAAACGAAATATGATTGGAAATTATCGTAAAAGGGAAACATCTAGCAAAAAACTAAAATTATAATTCAACTCCATTAAGGTTAGCTTTATAATATACCAACAAATCGAGGCTCAGGATGAATCAAGCGTGGATTTTTCAGAAGAAATTAGAATCAAATTGTTAATTGTTACGAAACGATGAGTAAGTGTAGACGATGATATTGCTTCAGCGTAAGATCTTATAGATTGGATAGTCATACCGTGACAAATCTACAGTTTTTGGGATTACGCATATTATTATAGTAGTACTAATACCGGACTAGACCATAATTCTACACTGCTAAGCCCGACTAAATAAACGCAGCCCTATTATTAACCCTCATTTCCACTTTAACTTTCTCGACTAATTTTTATCTATGTTAACCTATTATTCCATTAGTCCTCTGATTATTGCTTACGTGTATTATCGTATTGTAATTTTGATCAGTTCTCACAACTCACTAGCTCAATCGATACTAATAACAGGTCATCTAGATTATTTATTAGCTACGATGGTTCATTACCAAGCTTTGATAGCATTTACAAACTTACTTACTTACTTCCACCTGTTACTCCTCGTGAAGGAGCATAGGCCGCTCACCAGCATTCTCCATCCAACCCTGTCCTTAGCAGTCCTTTCCAGCTTCTTTGGTTCCAATTCATCCTTTTCATATCTGCTTCTATTTCTCGATGCAATGTGTTCTTTGACCTTCTTTTTTCCTCCGCTTACCTTCAGGATTCCAAGTTAGGGCTTGCCTCGTGATGCAGTTTGACGATTCGCGTAACATATGTCCTATCCATTTCCATCGTCTTTTCCGAATTTCCTCTTCAGCTGGAAGCTGGTTTGTTCTCTTCCACGGTAGTAGGTTTTTTCTGATGGTATCCGGTCAATGGACATTGATTATCTTGCGTAGACAACTATTTATAAATATTTGTACCTTCTTGATGATGGTTGTTGTAGTTCTCCAAGTTTCAGTTCCGTACAGTAGAACTGCCTTGACGTTCGTATTGAAGATCCTGACTTTGATATTGATTGACAGTTGTTTTGAGTTTCATATGTTATTCAACTGTAGGAATGCGACTCTTGCTTTGCCAATCCTTGCCTTTACATCTGCATCTGATCCTCCTTGCTCATCGATGATGCTTCCCAGGTATGTGAAGGACTCTACACCTTCCAGAGTTTCGCCATCAAGAGTGATTGAATTCCTGTTCCCTGCTTTGAATTCGAGGACCTTGGTTTTCCCTTTGTGTATGTTGAGGCTTACTGATGCAGAGACTGCTGCTACACTGGCTGTCTTTATCTGCATTTGTTCGTGTGCATGGGATAGGAGGGCTAATTCATCTCCGAAGTCCAAATCGTCTAATTGGTTCTGAGTTGTCCATTGCATGCCGTGTTTTCCTTCAGATGTCGTGGTCTTCATAGTCCAGTCGATCACCAGAAGAGAGAGGAATGGGGAGAATATACAGCCTTGTCTGACTCCGGTCCTCACTTGGGGTGCGTCTGTCAGCTGTCCTCCATGCACGACGTTGCGCTGTAGTCCGTCGTATGAGTTCCGAATCATGTTGACAATCTTCTCAGGAATTCCATAATGTTCTCCTATATACACTGTCAAACGCTTCTTCATAACTAATGAAGTTGATGTGCAATGACGAGTTCCACTCAACTGATTGTTCGACGATGATCCGTGGTGTCGCAATTCGGTCTGTGCATGACCGATCTTTAAGGAATCCAGCCTGTTGGTCGCGAAGTTGCGTGTCTACCGAGTCCTTCATCCGGTCCAGCAACACCTTGTTGGAAACCTTTACTGGTACTGACAATAGTGTGATTCCTCTGTAGTTTTCACATTTGCTCAGATCTCCTTTCTTTGGTATCGCGATGAGGTATCCTTCTTTCTAGTCTGTCGGCAATTGTTCCTCCTCCCAACTCTTCCTGAATAGAAGGTGACGCATGTTTCTAGCTACTTCCATATCTGACTTCAGTGCTTCAGCTGGTATGTTGTCGGGTCCTTCTGCTTTCCTACTCTTGGTTTGTCTGATGGTCATCCTGATTTCTTCGATCGTTGGCGGTGGGACATCTATGGGAATGTCTGTGTGTGCTGCTTCGATATCCGGTGGGTTCAGTGGGGCTGGTCTCGAAGTACTCTACTCATCTGTCCCGCTGTTCTTGAATTTCAGTGATTGGCCTACCTTCTTTGTCCTTGACCGGTTTCTCTGGTTTACCATATCTCCCTGCTAGTTTCTTCGTTGTATCATAAAGTTGTTTCATATTTCCTTATCTTGCAGCTTTTTCCTCTGTCGTTGCTAGTTCTTCCACATATTTCTGCTTGTCGGCTCTACTGCTCTTCTTCACTTGCTTGTTTGTTTCTATGTACTCAGCTTGTGTTTCGACTTTCTCTGCTCGCGTTCGGCTGTTGTTAATTACTGTCTTCTTGTTCTTCCCTTCTTTGATCTTGTCCAGAGTTTCTATAGAGGTGCATTCCTTATGGTGATGCTTCTTGAGACCCAGAACCTCCTAATACATTGAGGTTAGTGCTTCTTTGATCCATTCCCAGTTGTCCTCCGTAGTAGTTTCTTCTTCTTTCAGTAAATCCTGTAAGGCTGGAACCTGTTGTTGAGATTTATCTTGAATTTGTTGAGTTTGTCAACATGTTGAAGGAAGGCTGTATTGAACCTGTGTAATGCTGTTTGTCCAGTTGTCCAATGCTTCTCTAGCTTCAGTTTTAAATTGACCTCTCATAGAATTGATGTCTAATATCGTCGTTGCTATCATTGGTGGTTGCATAACATTGAATAATATTCATTGTGATCCTGTGGTGTTTGAATTGACTAATTATACTTTTGTACATGTTGATTGCACAATTTCGAATTCCAAATACAGTATATTCGTTTGTGCTTGTGATTTCTTAGTCCAATTGCTTTATTTCTGGGACTCTTAGTTAGTGCTATAGTTCAAATAATTCGAAACATTATAGATCCCCTCCTAATTTTTTTGAATATGCATTGATGATTCTGGATCCGTGAGACTCACATCCTATTGTTGCATTTCCTGCTTCTTTTAACAGTATCAAATCAACTTCCTGAGTGTGTGAAGCATTTTGTTCTTTGTGGCCGGAGTATAGCAGCATTTCTCCCATATTAAGCCTTTAATGTCCAGTTTGGTTCCATCGAGTTTCATTGATTCCCAGTACTGCCATGTTGTATCTCCTCATTTCCATTGCCATTTAACTGGTCTTCTCGGTCTCCCACATTGTTTGGACGATTCATGTACATATGACAACTAATGCTCTAGTTGTTAGAAGGGGCATCGGTCTCGCGGAATACGAAGAATCTAAGCTTTCACCATGAGCCGTCATAGTTCTACTAAATGAAGACTTTCTAACTCCCTGGGCAGAGTAAAAGTGGTTTGAATTAATTTTTCTGGTTAGCGTTTTTTCAGCGAGTTAGTTTTCTACAGGAAGGGGTCACTAACATCATGCCCAACGATTCTCCTATAGTGGCATTGGACCACAACTACACAATGTTCAAAGCTGAACATAAGACTTCTCAGAAAATAGATATCCAATATTTAAAGCCGAGAAATACCTAACGATGGAGAAGTCGGGAAGAATGTGTCGAATGAATTGGAGTTGGAACAATTAGTTCCTATTATAAATTCCGATAGAACAATGAGAAGACGGAGTTGATTTGAAAAATGTGATGTATTAGCGCTATACATTTCGAACAATCTGGTCACACATATACTTGTCAGGGCATTTTTATATGAAGATTAATAAAGTTCAAACAAATAAAAATACAATTAAAATAACTGAGGCGAGAGAAAAAAATATGAAATTGTCGCATTATCCT